CACTGTAGTTTCTGCAACCAGAAAACATTGCTAAGCCAAAAGTTCTACAAGGGTAGGCTCATGCAAGCGGTGGTTAGGGGCCGCAGTTTCAGCTAAGTCTTCATTCTGAGCTCGGTGGGCGATGCCCTCACAAGCTCCCCGAGCAGAAGACCGAGCCAAAACAAAGTCCTCAATCTTAGATTGCTTCAAGAAAGGTTGAAAAGCCAAGTCAACGGGAGATCTGCTCCTTTTCCTTGTCTGCTGCCCAGTTTCTTCTTCAATCCTTTTCAGGGCCTCCATTGGGGCAGGGCCTCCAAAAAGTGGCAGAATTAAATTTGGAATTTCTTATTCTGGCATGGAGCTGACTCATTTAAAGTTACTGAGTCATTTGTCTTCCGAATACACGGAGGGATTTGTGAGCCTCCCAGCAGGCCTCCCAACTGACTCTCTTCAGGCTGTGCCTGCCGATTCAATTCCGGGGGGAAATCCCCAAACAGTGCCAAAACCTCGCAGCTGTCCGGCCGGGGAAGGTGGGAGGATGCATGACCCACAGTTGATGGAATAAGCTGACAGTATCTGTCGATTCTCTGCTGCCCCTGCAATCCGGTTCCACCTTCCTTACTGCTTGGTGAGCACTGTGCCATCTTTGTTTTCTTTCCCCTGGGAGAGGCCATTCCATGGTTCCAAGTAGGAGACCTGTCTTGGTCTGTTTTATCACTTTGCAGTGGACAGTTTGTAGTGTCCATTATCTGAAAAAAGTCTTTTATCTTAGGTTGTCTGGGTGTTGTCGTAGCCATAGATAGCTAGTTTTGTTGCTTAGTAGAGAAAACTTTCCTCTCGTCACTAAATGCTTTACTACCTGGAGTAAAAAAGTGGAGTAAAAGCTGGAGTAAAAAATGAGCCTCTCAAGTAGTAAAATTAAAACTTTTTAAATTAAAAAGTTAAAAGTTAAAAATTGATTTAAAAGTAGAAAGAATGTTTTTTTTAAAAAGAATAAAAATAGAGAGTAAAAAGGAGAACAAAGTTAAAAGTTAAAAAGTTAAAAATTGTTTAAAAAGTAGAAGGTATTAAGAAAGGAGAAAAAAATAGAGAGTAAAAAGGAGAGCAAAGCTCAAAGCTGCTGCTCACAGCCTCTCCACCAACTATATTGATGGCGCTATTTGGATAGCTGAAAACACAAATCTTCTGCAAAGTCTGGTAATGAAAATCAAGGAACACTGAAAAAATTGCAGTAAGATTAAATAAGAAGAAGATAGAACTCATGATAGTTGGTACAGCAAAGTCAAAGAGCACAGTGGAAAAAAAAGTGAAACAATGATTAAACAGCAACCAACATTAGAATTTACAATGAATACAGTATATTGAAATGGGGAATTTTTTTTCTACCTTTTAGACAACTGTCAACAGTAAACTAACAAGTAGTCAAGAAATATTCCACAGATTAGTATTGGATAGAGTAGCAATGAAGGCCCTGCAAAAGACGTTCATATGCCATGAAGCATCTACATCAACAGATTATATTTTACACCTGAGATCAGAACAGTGCAAGCAATGAGTTGCCCTGTGATATGCTACACAAATGAAAGTTGATCTTTAAAGAAAAAAGATAGAAAGAGTATTTATGCTTTTGAACTTTGATATTGGAGAAGATGCCTGAAAATACCATGGAATCAAAAAAAAGAAGAAGAAACAAATAGTTCATCAAAAAAATCAAAACAGAGTTCTTACCTGGGGCTCAAATGACCAAACTCAGATTATCATAGTTCAAACACCTTATGCAGAGATGTTAGTCTCTGGAGATATCTGTAACAGTAGAAGGAAAAAGAAGAAGATCGCCATTAGCAAGGTTGATAGATAAATACAGCACCTTTGAAACACTTGAAGGAGCAGGTTACACACAGATTGTCACAGAGGAAAATGTATGTGATTGCTAATTTTATAGCACATAATCAATCAATCAATTAGGTGATCTATAGTCTGTTGATCAACAACAAAAAGAATTTGAGATTTTCTTTAAACATTCAGTATATGCAACAGATTTGTGGATTTTGTAGGAGATTTTTAAATCTCTTGTGTAGTAGTCAGTGTAGGATTATAGGATATGACAGGAGTCCCCAATCCCTGAGCTGTGGCCTGTGTGGCCTCTTAGCAACTGGGCCACACAGCTGGAGGTAAGTGGTGGATGAATGAAACTGTGCATGAGTGAACAATACTTTAATTTGGAAAGACAAGTTAAAAAAACTTTGAATAATAATGCAAGAAACTACACACACACACACACAAACACATATGTGTGTGTGTGTGTGTGTGTGTGTGTGTGAATATATACACTGTGTGTATATATATATATATATATATATATATATATATATATNACAGAGAGAGATTAGTTAGAAAGGGTGTCTTTTGTCTTGCCCCGGTTAGGATTTCTTAAGCAAATCCACTGGGTTTTCAACATGAAGCCAGAAAATCGGGACTTTTTAAAAACGTGCCGGGAAACGGGACAAATTGTTATAAAGCGTGATTGTCACACTGAAATCGGGACATCTGGTCACCTTAGGGGGGAGCAGGGAGGGAGGAGAGGGGGGCGATGCTTCCCCCATCCCACCTCCAGTCCTTCACCCACACTTTCTGGCCTCGGGGGTCTTCCAAAGGGGCTGCGAGGGTCCCCCCTGCTGGTTTCTAGCCGAGCAATTGTGGGGGAAATAAGGATGCCCCCTGGAAATTGGAGTGGGAGAATGAAGGGCTGGTGGGGGGGTACATTGGGGGCCAGAAGTTTGCTGCACGTGGCAGGGGAGGAGGAGGAGGTGGGGGGGCTCGTGGGCAGAAATGCTTTTGGGGAAGCTGCGGGGAAGGTGGTCCCGTTTTGAGCATGGGAACGTGGGGTCCATCACTCCTTTCGGACAGAGTCTACCACCAGAGTCTGCCTTGGCCCTGAAAACTCCTCTGCTCTTCAGCTGTGGCTTCTGGAAATCTGGGGGGGGAGAGATGGCTTGAGAAGGGATCCGGGATTACAAAGCCCATGTGCTCACTGACCTGGGGTGGGCTTGATGTCACCTGGAGGCCCTGAACTTGGGGGAAGGGTCTTTTATAGTCCTTCTTTGGAAAGAAAGTTCCTGCAGCTGCCACATCTTCTCTGCAGCTGCATCTCCTCCTCCAAAGCCAGGATGGAGGCTCCGGTGTGCCTGATTGAGAACAGGAGAAATCGCCTCCATGTTTCTCTGGAGACTCTTCGGTTGCTCTCGGAAATCCAGCAGCTGGTGGTGGTGGTGTCCATTGTGGGACTGTATCGCACGGGCAAGTCCTACCTAATGAACAAGCTGGCTGGCAAAAATTCAGGTGAGAAAGACAGAGATGAGCATAGGTGATATCCACAAGATGAACACCTGGCTGGGAACAGGAACATGCCCAATTCGGGGTTCTCTGCTCCCGTAGAGAGGTTGTAGATGGAGCCCAGGACTTTCCGTCTCCAAAATGCCCAATGTAAATAATCCAGTGATAAGCGATCCCTTGGAATAATGTGATCTTGCAGAAGATTAGCATCCTTTATGATATTAGGATTGACAGTAAGTAAGAAAGCACCAGGAGGCAAGGTGAGAAGCAATGGAGGGGAACTAATAGAGGAGAGAAACTCTAAGGAGAAATTTCCTAATGGTGAAAACAATTAACCAGTGGAAAAGGTTTCCTTCAGAGGATCCTCCGTCACTGGAGGCTTTTAAGAAAAGACCAGACAGCCACTTGTTTGGAATGATTGGGTCTCCTGCTTGAACAGGGGGTTAGACTAGAAGATCTCCAAGGTCCCTTTCAGCTCTGCTATTCTGTTTTGTTGTTATTACATGATAGCAATAGCACTTAGACTTATGTATCACTTCTTATTGCTTGACAGCCCCCTCTAAGCGGTTTACAAAGTCATAATATTGCCCCCAACAATCTGGGCCTTCATTTTAACCACCTCGGGTGGTTGGAAGGATTTTGGCCTCATGGAACAAGCCAGTCA